GGCCGATATCCGATATATCGCCGATATATCGACGATATATCGCGATTTTTACAGCATAGCTTAGGACACCGACATATATGGTACTTGGAAAGTGTATGTTCAAGAGACATGACTAGAAACAAGTCCCTGTTCATCAACTATGTGTGTTGATCAACTATGTGTCTGAACCTAGTCCTTCTGTAACCTTTAAAGATAATGCCAGAGGTATTACTAAAGGATATGGTGTTCTTTCTAACGGCTCGGTTACCTTCAACTGAGTAGCTTATGTGGATGGACTGAAGCACAATCTGTTAAGCATCAGTCAACTATGTGATCTCAACTTCATTGTGAAGTTTGAAGAAAACCAGTGTACCATTCTTGATTCTTCTGGCAAGAAGGTACTAACTAGTATCCGAAAGGATAATGTCTATGTGATTAACATGGAATCTTCTAGCTTTTCCGACGCCAACATCTGTTTCTACTCTGAAGCTACTGTTGATCAAAACTGGCTATGGCATAAAAGGTTGTCCCATCTCAACTTCAAAACCATCAACAATCTTTCTAGTAAAGATCTGGTTATTGGACTTCCAAAGATGTCATATGTCAAAGTGAGGCTGTGTGCTGCTTGTGAAAAAGGCAAGCAAACCAAAGCAAGTTTCAAGTCTAAGATGTGTTCTTTTATTTCTGCTCCTTTGCATATGCTTCACATGGATCTCTATGGTCTTGTGAGCGTTCAAAGTTTGGGTGGAAAACGTTATACTCTTGTTATTGTGGATGAGTACTCAAGATATAGTTAGGTCTTCTTTCTTCAACACAAGAGCGATGCAACTGAAGAAATTATCAACTTTGTGAAGCGAACTGAAGTCTTGAATGGTCAACTTGGTCAACTTTTCAGATCAATTCGAAGTGACAACGACACTGAATTCAAAAACAGTGTTCTTGAAAGCTTATGTGGTGGGGCGGTGATGTGACAATAATTGTGGTAGTGGGCGGCAACGATGTTGGTGGTAGGGCGATAATTGTGTTTTTAGAGGCAATAGTAGTGATGATGGTGGTAGTGGTGGCGGCAATGGTGATGGTAGTGATCGATGGTGGTGGAGACGAAAGAGGTAACGGTTGTGGTGGTGGTGGTGGTGTTGGTGGTTGTGGCAGAGAAAATGTGGTGGTGGTGGTGGCAGAAACAATGGCGGTCGGAAGTGGTGACAATTGTCGTACTAGGATGAAATGGATCTGATCAAGTATAAGGGAAAACAATCTCTTTAAAATGGGACGAATATGAGTTGTAATTTTTTACCAACAGCCAAGGAATTTAAATTCTGTCATATGTTGAAATAGAAATTTCATACTAAAATTCAAAAAGTGAACCAAACGCATTGTTCAAATTTGGTTGATGTAACATGTCATTTCAATTCCATCGTATTCCATCGGCTACCTACGAGCCAACACAGAGTACTATTGTTTTGGGTTTAGTCTAAATATTAATTAAGGTGTGTGACACATATTCCTTCTCGCTTTCTGACAAATTAGTTTGATTTTCGCATGATCCTCCCTATGTATATGTGTGTGTGTGTATGTATGCTTGCATGGTGGTAAAACCGAGATGAAGGATGAAGAGGTCTAGTGACTAAAGCAATTTAAAAAGTAATAGATCAAGTATTAAGAACTTGTTTGAGGGTTCGATAATTGAGCAAATTGTTTATTACAACGTGTATACTTAGAGAAACATCATGATTTCATATAGGATACGAAGCTACCAAGTACAGGGTAAATCTACAGTAATTGAGGTGAGTCATCAACGTTTTCTTGAACTCCGAGTAGCTACGTTTTCTTCAAATTGAATTAGATGTGGACTATGTCCTAACGTTAATTTCAAAATATGAAACTCTATTTTGGGAAAAATGTTTGAACGTTTTGAGTAAAGAACTTATAAATTGATTTTAATTACTAATTCAGGTTGTAATTACTACGTATTTTTATAATAGCAAATTGATTTAATAGATTCTATATTTTCCAATGAATTGGTTAATTTAACAATCTATGTAGTTTTACTAGGAAAAAACCTCCACCTCATTTCACTCCGGTTCGAATACTCACACTTTCAGTTAAAGATAGTTCAAGATATAAATAGAAATAAACAATTGAAGCCAACTTTTGGCATGGATAAAGGGTTTTAATAGTCCCAATTTATTAGCACAATGATCACTTGGAACCAGGAAGCAAGTTACGTAAAATTGATGACCAGTGGTATTTTATTTAGAAATAATAGTATAATTGAGAAAGACAATGAGAAGTCATTGCAAAACGAGTGTATACAAGAGGTCCAAAAATAAATCTGCTTCTTGATCTAGCAAAATAGACCCGCAATATGATTATTCATTGTGTTCATTTCTCCGGTGTGAATGTTTTGTATACAGATGTCAATGTTAAGACACTTATAAGTGGAGTACATTTCTCTTGTGTAAATGAAMATAGCTACTTATTATTTGACATCTTTTAAATAATGTCATATAAAAATGTAATGGCTAAAACACTTGCCAAGACGTCCAAAAACTTGGTATAAACTTATTGCAACACATTTACAAAGAACACACGATAGTTTGGCCCTATAAACATATGTACAACATATAGAACAGTCTATTAGAACAATTAAATATTTTTGGCATCCTACAAATGAAATTCGTTGTTCTGCAACTAGTAAGTACAATATCGTACCTTACCCTCATTGATTGTGTAACCACTATGCTATCCCTTTTATTTTGCTTGATATGGCATCTCCCTTGGTAGCCTTCACACCCTCTATCCCCTCCTTTATCTTAATCACATGTGATGCTAAATCATAGACGCAGACAACCTTTGACGCGAACTAAGTGGTAGAACACGTCGTCCGCACATCACAGGGTCACCTCACACGTATTATCACATGTGATAAAGGTGTGTTCTTGCATTCTCATAAAATAGAGGTGTTCTCTCAAGCATTTCATTAGTGATTCTTAAAATGCATGAGGCTCCTTGTCACCTTGAATGATAAATGGACCTTTGACGTGGTGTTCTGAACCAAATTTGCCCAAAGAGGCAACATGACCTCTGTTTCTCATCCCGGATAAACTGCATAGAGGACAAGAAGTTTAAACATAAGATTTTGTGTTTGAATCTGAATAAAATAATTTCAAATAGATACAGAAATGAAATTTGCCAATGGTTTTGAAAAGGAGATGTGATTAGATCGGATATATATTATTTTCAATCTAAATTGATTCAAAGAATGGAAGAAAACCAAATGCAAACAGCAAAGATTATCTTTTATAAGCCTAAAATGAGATCTTTTTGTCATTTGGATTGCAGATCCAGCAACAAAGATTTTGGTATTCTTTTGTCACTAACATCAAAATAAAACCTCTTGCTTCCTAAAAGATAGAAAATTATTTCCAATAGATGTAAAAATCTCGCTAAAATTTGTGGGAAAGAAAATAGTATAGCCTTGCGAAATTGTTCCTAATGGTACAAACTATTATGTGAGGTGCAAAAGCAACATGAAGTGTAAAGTGTAGAACCTTGCGAAATGCTATGAACATTGACGTTGTAACACATCCAGTCTTGATGACCTCTCTAGAAACGTTGAACTGCAACAAAAAATGTACATGTCCGAACAAGTTTAAACAAAGTGTAATAACTATAACAAATCAAGGAATATCATATAATCGAATAAAGGAAAGAAATGAAATTGAACTTCGTCTAAGAGTCGAGTTGTCCATATTAGTTTGCGTCGTGATGGTCCCTACATAGTAGAAACTGTTACATAGTACTTTCCGAGTCTACGTGTGCCTTAATTAGAAGTTCTTTAGACTATCCTAAGGTAACATTAAAGATGGTTGATAAAATGTACATTTCGCATTTGCTAGAAGAAGTTAGCTCAGTTTGGCTTCCAAAACCCGCCTCAAATTGTTCGATAACTTTGAACGAAGATTGTTTCCAGCAGCTACTAGAAAACTGAATGAGAGCTACGACCTATAAACAAACAAAATCCATTGCTATTTACYGTTAGCAACAGATTAAGAACGGACTTTGGTTTTAGCAAGTATAGTAGCCTGATACGATGTTCATATAAAGACCAGCTGTTATTTAACGTTTAGGGCATTGCCCAATATGCCAATACGTTCCATTATATAATATTATCAAAACTGCTTTCATTAAAACCACTGTATAAACAATTAATCTGTTCGGGATGTAAGAAATCAAGTGTTCTTTGGACCAATTGATTTTGTTCGAGAATTCATCTTATAGCAGTTCACAGAAGAAATTTTGGGCTAGTTTTCAAGCATCTATTTTATGATTGATCATCATTATCCTTGTCGATGCAAAAATCTTGCTAAAAGTAGCACGCATAAACCCTTTGTAAATCAAATCGATTGAAAAGATGGAAGAAAGTAATTTGCTGACGATCAGTATATATCCTAATGAAATCCAGAACAAAAGAAGCAGATTAAATAAAAATCGCTTACAGTGGATGAGGGATGTGAGCGAGAAGTGTCTGTCGGATGATAAGGGTCCACGACTTCATACATGGTGGCAGGGAAGAATTTGATTTGAACGTGGAATGTAGAAGACCAGAAGCCAGTTATATATAGCATACATTTTGTCAGCCTCCCTCCGTGAAATCAACCCTAATTTCSTGAYTGGATACCATTTGATCCATTGGATCACGGTCCAACAGGCTTCTTATTGGACTAATCAAGAAGAGGCAACAAATTCCTATTTATTTATTTTATAAATAAATGTCATAGATTTTTTTTATGTCTCTCTAATACTACAWCCACACTCACAACAACACAAGTTACAAATGGTAATTACTAACGTTTAGAGGCTCACATATATAACGAGCTTTTTCCTCCTTTTCTTTTATTTTGGTGGATGTGGGTTTTGTTTGCAACTGTTCGAACACAAGATCGTCCTGGATCATGTATCCCCGTTTTTTTCAAATTGAATAAGAAGTGAATTATGTCACAAGATTAATTTCAAGTTCTGCTCGTTCTTGAAGACTGTGTTTTTGGAAAAATGTTTGACTTCAAGTATTAATTGCGGTTGTAATTACTATGTATTTGCATAATAGCAAATTAAGAGATATAATAGATTGTGTTTTCGGATGAATTGATTTTTCAAAATATACTCYACCTCATTTACCTCCAATTTGAACACTCTCATTTAAATTAAAGATAGATCATGGATAATCCAAGTAGCATATTATAACAATATTGTTGCTCTTAATTTGGAAGCATACCAACTTTGAAGAGAATCATTCATCCTCTTCGACACAAAAAAAAAAATTTAAAATCAATTATTAGGCCTTTCCTGAGCAAAATAATATTTGAAAGTCATTATTAAGTTTGATAGATTCTTGTTCAAATAGCCATCTCTGAAACAAACTAGAAATTTATTGAACAAACTTCCTTCAAGAGATTAATGTATTTCCTCCCTGAACCACACGATTAAAATAAAAATCAACAGTGATGATCCAATAAACCGTCCCCCTTCTGTCTATATATCCTTTAACATATATGATGAAACGAGAGTCATAAATGCTGTTTTAAACTTCAATTGGGTTTTCTT